AGGGACAAGCCACCAAGCCACCTGAGGACTGCCAGGCATTAGAAGGTCCACTTCAAAGATGAGGGGGGTTGGAGGGGTGCTTGGGGATGTATTTTGTCCCGGACCTCAGGGAGTCGACCCGCAGCTGCGGCCCAAATCCCCCCGGCTCCTCGAGGGGCTGTTCAGCCTGCCAACTCCAATCAGCTCCGCCGCTTGGAGGCGATTCGCTCTGCCGGCCCTCTGGGGAGGGCTCTCTTTGAACCCTTGGGAATCATCCATCCGCGGAGAGTCTAATGAGACCGACCGTACTGTCTGCTGCCGGCCCTCCTTCCTCTCTGGGCTCCTCGGCACGCTGCCTTTGAAGCTCCGTCTCTTGGGATTCCCCCGCGAGTTCTCCTCCCTCGCTGTCGTCTCCGTAAGCGCTCCCTCTGCACTGCTACCGGAGAGGACATGGCTGGTGCCGGAAAGTGCCCTTCAGTCCCTCGGCAACGTGAGGCTCCTCCCACAAAGTGGGAAATGGACGACTTTAAGGGCCACTTCTCTTAATTCTTAGACATACAGATGCTACTCACTTTGGTTCGACTGATATGTCGATTTTACAACGGTGCCATAGCGATGCACATTCGGTAGTCATCAGACTTAAAATTTTTATCTGTTCCCAGGCTAGCGATTTGCTACGATGCTTTCTACTAATGCCGGGCGATGGCAGCATCCATCCAGCCACACTTGGTCTGATATGGTGTTTTTTTTCTGTGTTTAACCATAGTTTCCCAAAACCCATTATATCTACTAAAAACCCAGCTTGTTTTCAGCTTACGATAGTTTTGTTGGAACACAACCCCACCCTAAGCTGAGGAACATCTGTACGAGCAATTACTAAATAAGACAATTAGCAATACAGGGCTAACAATTTGTCAACTTTGTACCACAAATGGATTGTCATTTCAGGTTCTCATTAGTGGGTATCTAAAATTAGTCGGATTAAAAAATGATGCATTATACCTTTTAGAACAGAACACATTACTTTTTGAGTGTATCAGGATCTGACGTTAACTTTCACCTCGCAGTCACCTGCTTTCTTTGACAAATAGCTGCATTCTGATAGCTATTATTTACTGATTATAAATTGCTTTACTGCGGCTATTCTTGGTGACATAGTTTCGCAGCTACATCTCTTGACACCACGCACCTGACAAGCGTGATGAACGTTTTCACACAGGCTTTCTGGGGTATTATCCCAGCCTTCCAAAGGGCACGCTGTGTTATCATTTTTAATGAGTCTCAGTGAGTCATTTTTAATGTATTCTATAGAGGAGGTCTTCAGAGACAAAATCCAGCCCTAACCTTCCATAAGTAAAACTGCACCATATGTCGCATGGTAAAATATTTTCCGTTGGTGAACTGAGCCGATAAAGGTTTGAACAGGCTTCACAAAGCACCCAAAGATACATTTTTTGGATAGACGTTAATCTTTTTACGAATGAAGAAACAGTTAAGCCCTGCAGAAATGATTATCATGTATTTCCTAGACAGTTGTTCAGTGGAATATTTAAACAGTTAATTCTGTTTAATTAAGGGATTATGCGACTTCTGCAAATGTCATCGATCCCCGTGGTGTAGGTCAGCAGGCCCAGCAGGCTGTCATTTGGAATTTCTTGTCTGCAGAGCAGGATCTGAGCAACTTCAGGACAATAAATATGTATGGGGTAAGTTGTAAAAATCTTTTAACGTTTAATAATTTAACAGTCATTTAAAAACAGTATTAATAAAAAAGTGAGAAGGCCATCCTTTTCCCTGTTTCCGCTTATTTTAAAACACATGGTTGACTTTGGGTAGCCTGGTAGCAGACCCGGCTTCATACGTCAGTAGCCATGCATATTCTGTGCTTCCTGAGTTAGGCTCCAGGTGAGATTCAGATAAGCGATTATAGAAAACAGATGGACAGAGAAACACACTGCTTTGTCGGAATAAGTGAAAAAAACAAACAAAAAGCTAAAACAGCATGTCTGCTAAAGCTCTCAGTCCCTGGGCGTACTTCTGTTAGCATTAGCAAATGGACCTCTGCATTTTAGGAGAGCTTGCTTCCTAATGTTTGGGCAAACAGTTCCTTGTGGAGGCTGCCCCCGCTGTGCCATGCTCAGGTCAACATCCGTCACAAACCACTTAACTCAGCGAGAAGTTGAGTGGACACGCCACCCCCCTGCCCCCTTCGCCCCCCTGCCCTCACCAAAGGCGATTTAAATCGGGTTTGGAGAAAATTTTCATCTCAGCAAACCTCCCCAATATTTATTTTTTAAGATGAACATTAACCACTCGGCCGATGATTTTTCACATCACGCCGCTGCGGATTTCTCGCCCGCTGGCCGCATTTGAGGAATACAGAAATGCGACCTGATCTGCATTCTACCGTGAAATAACGTTGAAATCTTTGATAAGTTGTGGCCTTTGGGGTATTTAGCACATCGTCAACAGAACCGTGCACATGTTTCTGACAGCTGTGTGTGGAAAGGTATATTTTGCTGTAGGCACAGCAAAGCTAGTTACAGAAATCTTCTGCAAAAAAATATGCTTCCAATTGTGGAAGAGGTGCTGTTTAGATATCAGCCCTTAATATGATATGAAACTGGCCAGTGCTCAATGGCTCAGTGTGTGGCACTGAGACCTCACATCTTCAGGGTTGGAAGTTTGACTCTCAGTCCTTGTAGTTGTAATTTGCATGCTCTCCCTGTGTAAATGCAGAACCCCCCATTGGATGTTCTCCCTGTATAAATGCAGAGACCCCGATTACATGTTCTCCCTGTATAAATGCAGACCCCGATTACATGTTCTCCCTGTATAAATGCAGAGACCCCGATTACATGTTCTCCCTGTGTAAATGCAGGGACCCTGATTGCATGTTCTCCCTGTGTAAAATTAGGGAACCCGATTGCATGTTCTCCCTGTGTAAATACAGAGACCCCAATTGCATGTTCTCCCTGTATAAATGCAGAGACCCGATTGCATGTTATCCCTGTATAAATGCAGAGACCCCAATTGCATGTCCTCCCTGTGTAAATACAGAGACCCCAATTGCATGTTCTCCCTGTATAAATGCAGAGACCCTGATTGCATGTTCTCCCTCTGCAAATGCAGAGACCCCGATTGCATGTTCTCCCTCTGCAAATGCAGAGACCCCGATTGCATGTTCTCCCTGTATAAATGCAGAGACCCCAATTACATGTTCTCCCTGTGTAAAATTAGGGACCCCAATTGCATCTTCTCCCTGTGTAAAAGCAGAGACCATGATTTGCTCCTGCAGTCTAAAAACATGGTTAGGTCATTTCCATCCATTTTCTGAAACCACTTGGCCTACTCAGGGTCACAGAGCCTATGGGCACTATGCAGGGAACAACCCAAGATGTCCCTGAGGTGTGAGGTAACAGTGATACCCACTGCACCACCACACTAACCCAGCTGGGTAATTTGGTATTTGTAATTGAATCATATTGTAAATGTATGTTTGATATGGCCTGGCATCCAGTTCAGGGTGCCCCCTATTTTATGCCCTGTCCTCATCGCAACTAGCTACCTATACTAGATGAGCACTAATAGAACTTAGACGAAAGAAACAAGATCCTGCTTTTAAATTAATTCTTAAAATACAAGTTCATAAAAGAAACTATCTTAATGTTTGAAGTATTATGACACTTTTCAGGAGAATGAATTATTAGCCACGGTTCTGTTCTAATGGTGTGTCACCAGTTATTTCCAGTAGAGGGCACTGTTATATTTTGGGACTTCAAACTCTTATAAAAATTTAACAAAGTCAACTGCAAAGACAAAATCGAGTTGCCAGTTAACTTTTGGTATTATTTCAGTCATAATAATAAAATTATCTAGATGTTCTTGCAATTTAAATGAAATCATAATGAAAGATTATACGTTCTTTGGCCACTTTATTAGGTACACCTACATTCTACTCGGAACCGCCTTTCTGTCTTTGGAGACATTTTTGTCCACATCACAGTGGTATTAATCTGTTGTTTTTGAACTTGTGACAAGTCTGGACATCCTCCTCTGACCTCTTACAGTAGCAAAGTGATTTGGCAACAGAACTGCCACTGATGGAATGTTTTGTCTCTGTAAACTATAGACACCGTAGTAAGTGAAAACACCAGGAGGTTTGCTTGTTTCTGAGGTGCTGGAACCACCATGTCTGGCACCAACAATCATACCAAGTTCAAAAACAATGAGATCATTCATCTTAACCATGTAATCAGTGAACCCCAAGCCTCTGTCTGCATGCCGCATGTTTTCAGTTGCAGCCATACAATTCACTCTTTGGATGAGTAGCCTGTTTGAATTGAGGTGTTAAGTGGCCACTGAGTATATCCTGGGGGATAAACACAGTATCTGAAAGACACATACATATTTCGAGCAATGGACCAGTGTCAGATTCAGTTAGTCACATCAGTCACATGGATAAAGAATTAGGTAGCTGCTGTCAACTTGGTGTGGAAAAAGATGGAGATTCACTTTTGACCCAACGAATGATGACAATAGTAACCTCCTCCTGTTAAAATGTAGGTAAAGGACCATTAGGTTATTAATACTGTCCTATACACCACAGACCAGCAGAACAAAAAGTGCCCCCCCCCCCCAAAAAAAAACATATATGCTGCTCCATGTCACCTGGCTGAAAAGGTTTAGAAACATACCTTTGGTCTCATTAGAATCAGAACTGACTTCATTGCCAGTATGTGCAAACATACCAAGGTCCCTATCACTGCACGGGGGCATTGGGATCCACACAGACCACGGGATGGACTAACCTATTGGCCACTCCAACACCTCTTCCAGCAGCAACCCAGCTTTCCTATTTGGTCTCCCATCTAAGTACTGGTCAGGCCCAAACTTGCTTAGCTTCAGATGGATTGCCTAGTCTGAGATGCATGGGTGGAACAGAGTAAATGCTGGAATGGCAGGAATAAATCCCTGGCAGCACCTTAGACCACAGCCACGAAAAAGATCCCATGACGCAGTCAATCAGATCAATCTCACATTCTAAGAAATGACTGATAACTAAATGAGACTAAACTGAACGTCAGAAAAGATGAAATCCAGGAAAAACTCAACTACACAATTACAGTCACAAATAATGAGGGAATGTAGTGAGACAACAACAGCAGTCAATGGCCAGTAACCTTCAGCATGAACGTCACTGATCCAGCACAGCATGTCCTCCTCCATGTAGCTATGTAACGAGGACCATGGCTGATGGAATTTTAAATAGCGCATTTTAAATAGAACGGAGGATCTTTGAAACACCTCGTATTCCAATTTAGGAATGTAGATTTACACCTGGGATGCCAGTAGCTTTGAGAGGAGGAATGAAATAAACAGACTAGAACTTTTGATATTCAATCAGAACCATAAAACCAAAAACCTTATTTTGGTAACTTTCTCTGTAATTCATATAAATTGTGTTGTTTTAATTCTATACAGTAGTTCTATGCTTTAGACTCACTCGCAAAAGGCATATTTGAAATGCATAGTCTCTGTATTTTGTTATTTATAAACCATGAAAGCATCTTAGCACTTGGTTGCATATAACAGCCAAAGCGGGAGATAAAGGGATTGGAGAGAGAGGCAGCCGCAGAACAGTGGCGAAACCAATAACATGCGCGTGTGCTTCGCTGCCCAGACCCCCCTCGGTGAAGTTCACGGCTGAGCGATGGGGGAGATGTGTTCCTGATCGGCCCTACGCGGGCTGGGGTCGAAGGACGTGGCCCGTTTCCATCTTGGGGACTACTGCTGATCTTGTCGCTGAGGACACGTCAGATTTAATTCCTTTTTAATTGCTGATGGCTTCGATGCTGCCATCCTGATTGGAGCCGGTCTGAACCGGTGACACTGGGGCAGCAGGTAGCGCAGTGGCTAAGTACATGGAAGGTGAACTGAAGGTGACCAGTCTATGTTGCCAAGAGAGACCCTGCTGATGTTCTGTTGAGCTAGATACTTAACCTCTAAATATCCAATTGTATGATTATAAGGGTTTGCTTCTCTTACATAGGTATCTACCAAAAGGGCTACTGAAAGTATTAAATTGCATCCTTTTTCCCATATGTCCCGTACCAATCTATGTTCCCTGCATACTCTTAATATTGCACTTTGATTGAATAGTCCAGTTAGGTTCTTGCTCTGAAATGCATTGTATAGCTCTTGCTTATATTTGTATCTGGGCATTTACTGGAAGCCTATAGTCAGCTCTCTGTGCTTTTTGGTTCCCTCATTTATTTGATGCTTTTATCCAAAGTGACTTGTGGAAGAAAAGGTTACAACCTTTGGGTTGCTGGTACAATGCACTACTTGTTGAGCTACAAGAGCTGTTTAGCTATTGATCTAGATATCTATCTATATGAATATTAGATAGTTAGATAGACAGATAGATAGATAGATAGATAGATAGATAAATAGCCTGATTGATTGATTGATTTTTTAAGCCTTCTATTGTGTGCTGTTTTTTCCTGTAGAACCCGCCTTTATGATACAGAACAGCACGAGAGAATGTGACCTACGAAAAGGAACGTTCCGCAGGGACATGGTACCGCCTGTCTGCTTCCACAGCCCGCTTGTCAGCACCTGTCACAAGTGGCGCGACCAACCAAATGTGTGATTGATGTAATGTAATATTTATACAGCCAATGATTGTTGTGCAGGGCAAACATTCTTTTTCGGCATATGGCAATGTTTTGGTCTGAAGGAAAAGGTATGAGTGATATGAGCAGTATTTCTTAGTGTAGGTCCTGGAGTGCAACCAATCAGACTTAATTGGGCTGTTATGACAAGGCTGGAAGTAAAAATAAAATGTAATTCATGAATATAAACACAATTTTAAAATACTTCGGAAAGATCGGCACAAATATTAAATTACAGTCAGTGGGTTATCAACAATTTAACTCAACCTAATTAAGAGCTGTGTTATTAAGCATTCAGGAAAAAAACACACAAAAAGTAGGTCATCTGAAACACGGCGTGTTTTTCGATATTAAGAACACAAAGACCGTACTTGTGGTCTTGGCAAGAATGAATTTGGAGTCCAATGATTCATGGGATTGGTCTTGTTTGATGAGGATGCAACTGATGTATCCTTGATATTTGAGGTGAGGCAAGAATGACATCCAGGGGATTTTTACTGTCCTCTGTCTTTGTTCATCCATCCATCTGTCCATCCATCCATCCATCCATCTATCCATCTTCTACCTGCTTATCCAGTGCAGGGTCATCCCAGAAGGCACAAGGCAGGGGACACCCTGGATGGGATGCCAGTAGAAGCTAAGTATTAACAACATATAAAGATAAACATGATATTTAATATCTGTTCAAAAATGTTTCTATGCATACACAGAAGCATCAGTCACTCACTGACATAAATATCAAAATCATGGTATGTGATCATTGAAATGAAACAACCTGACGCCACCGGGCAAAAAAAAAACAAAAGGGGGAGAGACGGTCCTGGAGGAGAGGAAAGAACAGAACAGAAGGACAGCAAGGTGAGCAGGTGTGGCTGCCACAGCAGTAGATTACAGGATTACATTCATGGCGACCATGTGATCAGCGTGGTCACTGCTGACCCTGATTACTCACAGATTAATGTAGCGTCACCCTGACCTGCTTCCGCTCTTTGTCCGTCTCCATGGGAAAGCAACCCCAGGTAGTGGAGCGTTTCCTGTACCATCCCGTCACAGCAACAGCCTGGGCACCCGGAACGTACTGTAGAGGTGAGTCTGTTTTAGCCACCTTGGCACCACTGTCTGCCCTCTCCTATGCCCCAGACCCTGTCCCGATTGGCTCTCACCTCCCAAATGTGATTTTCAACGCTTCCAAGTTACTAAAAACATTAAAAAAAAAATTCTGACTGCGAGTCTGCAGATACATTGTTTCATGGTTGGATCAGATACATGATTAAAGGATATGCTTCACAGTTTGTGCCAGCTGATGACTTTTTAAGATTTTCAGTTCTTGGTGATCTGGTTTTCCGAGGGTGGCCCCACTCATTAATCCTTCTCACCGTGATGATTAACACTTAACGATAAGCTCTGCCGGGCACAAGGTCTTGGGTGTCAGAGGTAGATGTCAGGAATAAGTCTCCATGGACACGTCTGATAACAGCCTGTTTCTGTGAGAGCATCTGCTACTGCCATCAGGGATGATTATGTTGTTTGCTACACTTGGGATTTTAGGAGAAATAAAAGCTTTAACCCCCCCCCCCCCACACACACCTCCTTCTGAACACTCCTTCAATTCCCTTCCAATGGTAAAAAATATGAGTCTTTGGAACCTCCCATGAAAGCGTGTTTTATGCATAGAAGAGACTGCGTTGATTAATCACATTAGAAAGATGGTTGATTACTTTTAAGAATCATGGATTTTCTTTTCTTCATTTAATCTGATGATCTGGTGATGGTTCTCATTAATTAGTTTTGGCTAGAACCTGGTTACATTATTCATAATGAATGAATAAATGAATGGATGGATGGACAAACAAAATTAAATGTTCATTCCGTCCATCCATCCATCCATCCATCATCCATCCATCCATCCATCCATCATACATCCTTCCAGACTGCCAATTAATACACAATATTAAATAATCATAATTTCTATGATTCATAAGAGAATAAGAGAATCAGTTAGAGCAACTAGCAAACTGTGGCTTGTTGTAACCGGCCCCCAGGGGCCACTCAGTCGGCCGACGTAAAACGCTCTTCCAGGGCCATGGTGTAGCATGGGGCGGGGGGGCCGTGAGCTCCTGTGGCGGCCCATGGCGAGGAAGGGGGTCGTGGGCAGACTTCTCCTGCTCGTGCTGTGCGTGGGGGGCACGGCAGCACCATCGCAGCCTGTCCACGAGCCGCTGCTCCCAGGACAGCCTTTCCTGGTGCTGTGGGGGGTCCCCGACGCAGCCTGCTTGGGGCGCCCTGACCCCAGGGCCTTTGGGATGCAGGAGAGGAGCCAGCTGGTCATCTTTCTAGAAGATTCACTGGGGCTTTACCCATACTACACCCCCCAGAAGCAGGCTGTATCGGGGGGGCTGCCCCAGCACACTAGACTTGACGGCCACCTGCAGGAAGTGGAAGCCGACCTGGCTGTCTCCCTGCCCTCCGTGGATTTTGGGGGCCTGGCCGTGTTGTACTGGGATCAGTGGAGACCCCAGTGGGGGAGGAACATGGCCAAGCAGGAGATCTACCAGGAAGAGTCACGCTCGCTGCTCCAGGGATTCTTCCCAGACTGGAGCCCAGCTGAGGTGGACAGGTGGGCACAGGTGAGTCTTACACAAACCTGACTGCTAAATGTGCATCAGTGTGTATGTTCTGCTGAACCTCCAAAGGAGGAACACACACTAGTGGGCAAAATTCCACTTTCACTAACACTTACAGTTTTTAGAGATTGCAGAACTTCATTCAGCTGTTGCTCCAGGTCCTTATTTAACCGTGCAATGTATGATACTTTGATTATTTATAAGATATTGGTGTAGTAATTTTTAAAGCATGATACCAAAAAATGCTAGGTGTTCCCACAATTTTGGCCACTAGTGTATGTGAACAAAGGCAATTCTAGAATGTTTAAAGGAGGAGTCATAATTCAAACAGAGGGGCCAACTTTATCATTAGCTGTGAGTTTGTGAATGACCGGGCAGGATGTACTCCAGGGACCTATCAGCTTTCAGCTGGGGCCAGCGTCCCTGTTGCCACGCCCCTGCATATGTCTGAACTACATCTGAATGTGTGTGTATGCCAACAGCATCCTGTGTGAGAGGATGGAGATGATTTGACATGATGTTGTCGGCCTTGCCAGGTGGACTTTGAAACGGCAGCTCAGGTCATCCTGATTGAAACTCTACGGAAGCTGAAGATGCTCCGCCCCAAGGCATTGTGGGGAGTGTCCCCATACCCAAACTGCTACACCTCTAGTCCCGCGCAGCGCCGGGCCAATCACACGGGCCGCTGTCCTGCTACGGAGATGGCCCTGAACGACGAGCTGCTGTGGCTGTGGAGACGCTCCTCCGCTCTGTACCCCCTCCTCCAATTGGACAATCTCTTGGGCGGGACTCCGGAAGCACGACTTTACGCCTCCGCTCTGGTCAGAGAGGCACTGAGAGTGGCAGCGCTGGCCGGCGCCCCCTATGACCTCCCAGTGTTCCCACTCATCAGGAGCGTCTACACCTCCACCAACACGTTTCTGTCTGAGGTGAGTGGGTGAAGAACCACTAACCATCAATAAAATAGTGTTGCAGTGTTTTTCACCCCAATCCTGGGAGACCCACAGACAGTCCACATTTTCGCTCCTTCCCAGCTCCCAACCAATCAAGACCACCGAATACCTGTTACAGGCGTGTTGGGAGCTGGGAGGCAGCGAAAATGTGAACTGTCTGTGGGTCTCCCAGGACTGGGTTGAAAAACACTGCACTAAAACATTCAGATGTTTGGCAAAACTGAAAGAAATAAATGAGTTTGATCCATTTTAAATTTAATCATGAGAGGGACAAAGAAGACTAGATGTAGCTGGATCACTGATGATAACTAAAGAGGAGGTTATAGAGCAGAAACTGAACCAGCAGCAGTATTGGGCTGACCCAGTGTGCATATGCGCTGTGTGCAATGTCCCCACAGGGTGACCTGATGAACACCATTGGGGAGAGTGCGGCCATGGGGGCAGCGGGGGTCATCGTTTGGGAGAAGGTGATCTCAGACAAGTCCCAGGTATCCACCACTCAGAGGGGACTTTGAAAGTAGGACCTACTGTCCTGTCAGGAAGGCTGACAGACAACCACTGCAGATAATATTGGAACCAGATCAGCAGCAGATTACCTACAAACATGATCATGTTTTGATACCTGACTGAACCTGTAAAGTTAGCATTTCCTGAGGTGGGGGTGGGGGGGTAGGGGGGTTCAGCCAGTTGACCAGTTGAGGTTATCCTCCTACTATTCAAAGGGGTTTTGGTTCTTTTCCTCCGTGGTCTTTTGGCTTTTTCTGTTTGCACAGTGCTGTGTGTGTTTATATAGATGCGTTTTTGAACAAGGCTACTATAGAAGTAAAATGAATGTCATTAAGGGATAAATGATATCTCTACATTGCTTGTAGTGTATGATTGTGGGTGTTTGTGCCCTGCGATGGATCGGTATCCCATTGAGCGTGTGGCTATCATCTCCTGTCCTGCCTGGAACAGGTTACTCGCACCACTGTGCCCCCAACCAAGATAAGCAGTTACGTTTCTGTCATATTTAGCAGATACTTTTGTCCAAAGTGACATGCAGGCAAGGCCTTTAACACACTGCAAGCATCCATGCTGGCGAGGAGTCAGCTAAGGCGTCAGTGCAGCTGGGCTGAGCTTCCAATGAATGCCGAGCTGTAGGCAGTACGGGAGCAGGAGCTACACAACAGCTAAACAGTAACTATTAACAAAGAACCCATTCAAAGGGGCAGTAGGTGCAACATAAGAACATATGGCATTCAAAGAACATAAAGAGGCATCAGGTAAGTAGGGGAATTAATGGAACAGATGGGTCTTAAGGTGTTTCTTAAAGACTGAGAGGGAGCCTGATGACCGGATGTGGTTAGAAGATTGAGAGGTGAGTAGTAGTGTAATGCTAGACTAGTGGGGGAACATTATTACCTCTGTGTGTCTCTCTTTCATGTGTTTATGTATGTACGGTATCAGAGAGGATGCTGGAAGCTGGCGGACTTTGTGCGGGAGGTGCTGGGCCCATATGTGGTGAACGTGACAACGGCATCACGTCTGTGTAGCGCCACACTGTGCCGGGGGCGTGGCCGCTGCGTGCGCAGAGAGCCTGGAGGCTCCGCCTACCTGCACCTCCCGCCCACCACCTTCCTGCTGCTGCCGGACGACGCCGGGCGTGTTGAAGTGGAGGGCCGTCTGGCCCCCGCCCAGCGGAATGCGTGGCGTAGGGATTTCCAGTGCCAGTGGTACGGGGGGCTGGAGGGCGGAGCTACTGACGAGTGGGCTACACAGGGCGGGGCTGAGGGGCGTGGTTGGGAAGGAACCACATCAACGATCAAGGAGACAGAGGTATCTGAGTCGCCTAGGGCAACTACGATGACTCTGAAGGCTGAGCGGACTCCTACGGCGACTACAACTCTGACAACAGAACCTGCAAGTGCACCACTGAACCAAAGTGTCCCATTCCTCATCTCATCCCCCCTTGGCCTTCTGCTCTCCGCCATCTGCATCCTGGACTTCTGGCTGATGTGCTGACTCCAGGGGATGACCGGTAACCCTGGACTGGGGCCTGCTATCTTTAAAAAGAATTCGGCACTGATTACCATGGTCCGAGCCAATCTGATCTCGGACAGGTCACGGTCCCCAGTGAGGGCCCGGATATGAGGACATTCATTACACACGCTGAGAAATATGTAATCTGCCATTTCAGCAGCGTGAAGCATTAACTGCAGTCACGTGATGATTTGTCCCCTTGGCTCATAAGTTTCCATTTTACAGTTGAACTATCCTAACATTCTGTGTTCTGTTTTAAACACAGAACAAAGGAGGGAGCAAAAATATGGTCTTGGGTCCCTGAAGACTGGGTAGAAAAACCCTTCCGTAGTACATTTCCTGAAGTACTTCTATTGTTAGTAGTAATAGGGAACTAGCATTTCAGGTTCCTATGAATCTGCCTGTAGACCCAATGTACGCTCACTTCCGCTGTGCCCATCTCTGGCTGACCAGCTCTACACGGCCCCCTGCGATCTCCCTCTTTGGTTTGTACCCCATCTGACAGACCCCTGGGCACCAGTAAGGGCCTTAATCTGCACATTTGGGTCTGAGGAGTCAAAGGGCTGATTCTGATCAAACGTCAGACCAAAGGTGTCCTCTCTCATCTCTTCTCTGAATGTTTTGTAGTGGTTCAAAATGAATAGTAATGATGGATATAAATGTGTAGTATGTGTTGTTTTACACTAAAGAAATAATACAGAAAGATCAACTCTATACGTTTCATCATATGCTACCATCATTGTTTACAGTTTTATCATAACACGTCACATAAGTTGTACCAAGTTAAAAATAACTGCCAGCTGCTCTGGATGGGTATCATAAACCTAAATGGGAAGGAAGAGTGTTAAAAGTAAGTTATTTAAAAGGTCTGTTTAGAAAAGAGTACAAAATTAATGTGTACAGGATACACCCAAAGTTCGCCATCAAGTGGCCATTCCAGAGCACTGCATCTCACAGAACATAACAGTGGTCATTTACTCAATTCTGCAGGGAAACTGGGTAGTTTTTACATATCCCATCACACTCTCCATGAAAGAGACAGACATCATTGTATACAAGATAAACTTTATTGATCCCAGGGGGAAATATACAGATGAGAGCAGGGTTAGGGTTAGGAGTCACAGCACAGAGTCAACCAGCATCCAGCACCTGTAGAGTAACTGGGGCTGAGGGTCTTGTCCACCAAAGAGTAATGAGTACTCTGCCATCCATGGGATTCAAACCCATGACCCCCCCAGATACAGGCTCGGACCTCTAACATCCCGAATTACACACCACCCCTCATGCGTTTCAGTAGGTTAAGGTCATTGTACCGTTTTGAATGTTTGCCGTTACCAAGATATATAAGCAAAGCATCTATGTTCCACTCCCGTATGTCTGCCCAGAGCTCCAGTGTAGAGACACTCACCTCTACACTACCCCTATGGTCAGTGCCAACAATTATGTTATATTGTTAAATTTGAGTTATGTCGTCAGTAGTCTGTGTGCTTTACTCCTGAATAAAAGAGTTGAATAGGAACACAACTTTGATCCTAAAATAGAAACAAGAGATCCTTAAAAAATTATTTTTAAGTATATAACTGAAACAATTTTAATAAATTAAAAATTACAGGGAACATATATACAAATATGATACATTTACAGGTTATAGAGGAGTGCAGAAAAAACTCTTTGGCCGCTGAGGTTAGACCTGACCCGACATAATGATCGCAGCTCTGATCCAAGCTGCTATGCCTCTCTGATGGAGACCCGTCATGCTCGCGGCACCTTTCTGCGGTGGGAAGGACCCGTCTCTCATCATCACATGGGCGTGCTGGAGGCGGGAACGGGAGTCAGAGGGATTTATGCCTGGCATGGTGCCTGGAGGCCACCAGGGATTGGACGAACAGCTCCTCTCAGTCTCTGCTGGGCCAATCACTCACGCTCTTTCAATGCAGCGCACGCACAAGGGCGCTAAGCCCTTCCACGGCAACAAACACCGATGCAAACTGAGCCCAAGCTCCTGCTGTACATTCAGGCACAAAAATAGTACCAACACGCTCTCTTACACACACACACACACACACACACACACACACACACACACACACACACACACACACACAGTGCAGACACCAGCTGCGTGGCTCAGCCAGGTCACTTGCAAAGTGCTTCCAGGGTATCTAGCATGGTCTTGATGTCACGGATCTGCTTGGCCAGCTGGTGGATGGGCTGCATGGACCGGTCGAGCTCTTCGCAGCGTGCCATCAGAGTATACATGCCCTAAACACACACAAACATGCATCAACACCACCATGCTAACACAGCCCGGCTTTGTGTACACTCTCATCCAGAGGCTTAAGGCAGAAGGAAAAACAAGCGAGCAGAAATAAATAAATAAAAATACCAACATAAGAGGGCAAATAAACACTCCAGTAATAGATACAGTACCGAAAAACTTTTAGGGTCCAAGGTTATCTGGCTGCCCCAGTCTCCCTGGGTGTGCGTACAGGTTACTAGAACTAATTATATCTGTCCTCACACAGAGACACAACAGACTGGCTTAAGCACAAAGAAACTCTTTGCTTTTTTCCCCCCATCCACAAAATGCTGATGGCCGAATCTTAGGGAAACTTCTTTCTATACGGCTCAGAAGAGCAGAAGAGTCCCCTCACCTTTATACTCATGTCCACAGACTCTCCAACGCTGTCTACAGAGTCCCTGTAGGTCTGGATGTAGCCCACGCTCAGTGCAGTCATCTGTGGGTACACAGAAGTGGGGTGACGGCAGGGAGCCAGTGTGTGTGTAGGTACACACAGCATGTTTTTACAAAGAAGTTTTCCACAGTGCGCTCTGGAGTGATTCATGGAGGCCCAGGAGGAATTACACAAAAACCAAAACAAACACATCAACACTGGAGCAAAAGGCCGGGACTGAGCAGTACTCCAAGAAATGGGGATAAAATTATTAATGTAGATGGTATTTTTAGTGTGAATGAGAGCAGCTAGGGCAGAGTGATTATGATTCAGTGATCCAGCTGTAGGGGGCAGGGAAGCTGCACGCCCTCAGAAAAACTACAGCCTTTTGATAAAGGCTGATGGAGAAAACTGTGTTAAACAGAATTCGATTGGTCATATGATGCATGAGGGAGGGGCCATGGGGAAAATGAAGGCAGATGTGAGCACGGGTGATGGCAAACTGGCAGACTCACGTTCTGGACGGTTCCACTGAGTCCACGCATCATTAAGTCTAAGCTCTGGGCCACTGCCTGCGTTTGCCTCTGCAGGTCCAGCAGTACGTTTGGGTCGATGGGTGGGATGTCTGGGGGAGGTCGCAGGCAGCTACGAGACGGTGCGGCATGCTCGGATGGAGCCTGGTTCTGCACTGCACAGTGTGCTAATGAAAACAGAGTTAACATACTGTATTATTACACCATCGAGGTGAATCCCAGCAGGGGTCCCTAAAGTAAGAATTACTCCAGCAGAAACATACGGGCATATGGAAGAATGAATTGGGGGGGGTGGAGTTGCACTAAAGCAGGGGCGGGCAATCTTATCCAGAAAGGACCGATGTGTGTGCGGGTTTTCGCTGCAACTCCCTAATTAGATTACTGATTAGAGGAGTGATTGGCTGAAGAGTCCTCACACCTGGGTTTGAACAGCTGACCTAAAGGTTATCCCAAAAATGTGCATACACACCGGCCCTTTGCGGATAAGATTGCCCACCCCTGCACTAAGATGTTTTCGGTAAGAAGGACCTCAAACAGCGGAGAGGGGCATTCCATACACCAGAGGGGAAAAAAAAATCAAACCTACACACTTCCTATTTCTCTAGTACAGTGTTCCCCAGTCCAGTCCTCAGGGACCCGCAGCCAGTCCATATTTTTGCTCCCTCCGAGCTCCTTGCCAAACATTCCACATTTCTGCAGCAAAAACACGGACTGTCAATTGTATCCCCAAGGACCGGACTGGGAAACACTGCTCTAGTATACAAGCTATGTTTCCTGAATTGTTTTGCTGGCCTTTGTTTCCTATCATATTCCAACATAACAAACTGCTTGGACATGGTCCAGCCCAAATGCCCACTCACAGTCAGAGTCCGGCTCAAGTCTGTGGCTCATCTTGATCTTGTGCTCCAGATTACTGGCGATGAAATGTGTCAGGTCCCCGTCATGGCTGACGGTGCCCTCCAGCTCCAGGGCGCTGGAGATGGTGGCCCTGCGCCCCTCAGGATGCCCACCCCTGCCGCACGGCTCGCCGTAAGCTCTGCTGATCTCGTCCAAGCTCTTGCTGTCCTGCATGCCGCGTGCGACCCTCTCCTGCTCTGGGCCGGGCCTCACATGCACCTGCGCCATCACGTGTGTGGGTCTGGGGGCCTCCTGGTTCTGGGGGGACGTGGGGTCACCCTCCTGCCCCTTTGGGCATGTGTGAGAGGGCAGCTGAGTTTTTCCCTTTGGTGCAGTGACCACAGTGGTGGCTGCAGGGTGCTAGGGACACACAGTCGCAAGCATTATCAATATGTACACATAAATGCACACACACCAACCCATTTTTAACATAACTGTATATTTCACAGCAAAAACTATGCTAAGATTCCAGATTCAGCCACATCACGATCTTCCAGTCTCCTCCCTGCCACTTACCTCGTCCCCTGCTTCTCCACTCAGCACCTCCTCCTGAAGGCAGGCCTCGTGGTCATCAGCTGCAGCATGCAGTGTTCCTGCAGGGGGGTCGGCCTCATGCATTTCTGCAGAGGTGATGTGTGGTGCGTTTCCCTGATGTACCATTTCGGCAGGCTCAACAACAGTACACATGTACACAGCCACTGTCTCCACTTGTGCATCTCTACAGGCTTCGAGCCTGCTCTCACAGTCCACTGTGTCACTGGGGGAACCTGCCATCGTTCCTGGTGCCAAGCTAGTTGCCCTCTCATGCTTTGGGGGCTCCAGCTCAGGGCTGCTCTCCTCATCACTGGAGCTCAGCGACCCTGATAAGCCCAGCCCGTTGGGGGCTGCCAGCACCTCCGCTCCAGTCCCAGAAGAGAAGCTCATTGTACTCCTTTTTCTAAAACTAAATCTCCCTCCTTATCCACATCCTCTCACGGCCTGCAACACACCGTCAACTTCCTCCAGCTCCCTCGAGCGTAGTTTTCAGTTTTACTAAGCACAGCACACTTATTTTTTTCCTTTCATTGAAAACAGGAACTAAACCAGTTAAGATACTATTTTTTAGTTCGAATTCTGCTATCCACGAAAGTCAGGACCCATTACTGTCTGACCCATTCCCCATCGATTTAGTTTAACGGAATTCTACTGCGAACTAATGACTAATAAGTAGCCAACAGACTAACTACATTTATGTTTTGATAAATCAATACACAGTTGACAGGGCCTCTACATACGCAAAGTTTCCCAATGCAACATTATCCGACAAAAGAACAGCGAAACATGGTTAAGTCGCTAAAAGAGCTAAAGTATTTTATATACTTGCAGCACGGTCAGGTAGCTGGAGAAACTTATTAAGACATTTTATAGAGCATTTTACCCAAGTAGAAAGGACTTCTGCAGCTTCCCCGGCCAGGAGTCCCACCTCTTCAAGCTTCCCCGGGGGAACATTAGACGCCGCGACATTAGTTCCACCTATTCCATCCTTTAATATGTTTCTAATCAAACACGAATTTCAAAGGCAGAATTTTTTAAACGATAGGTTTTAAAGGTTATAAATTTAAATAAACTAAATCACTACTATAACTAGAAGGAATGTTAAGCGATATGGCAAATTACGATAACGTTTACTGCTACTAAAATAATTATTGTCATTATTAATATTATTACAATACAAAAATAACACCGAAACAAATATATAATTTATAACGTGATTATTGATATTTCACAAGTATTAATAATTAGAATATTTATATTAATGATAATTTTGTATTTTTTTTTAGCTTTGCAGTTTGCAAGATCAATTTAGTAAGTTCTTTCTGTTAGACGAATCGCTTCCAGTGGGACATCTGAAATATGGCTGGCGGCTCGACTCATTCTTAATTCTGTGAAAAGTAAACCAGTATCATGGTGTTAAACAGGCTGAGCAATAATACAATAATAGTTACTCTATAGCTGTAGGATCTTTCCATTACTGGCCTGACCTCAATACTATGGATGCAAATACGGCATATGAATCTGCCCTCCTAATCCACGGTCACAAAGGGGCGGCACTTTTTGTCAGTCTTGAGGTAGAAGAAATATATCAACATTTTATCCGAAGACTTTGGAAATAAAATCATAGTGAAAAACTGTAGTCATTGTGAAACAAAATACACAATACTGTTTATTAGATGCATGTACTGTCAAACAGCTTCATGACTAATGAAGTCCATATCAAATAGATGATTAGACCTAAAAATAGCAGTTTGCTCTTCTGGGTGCTAGGCTCGGGTTCCAGTTCTTTCAGCAAAGATGATGTACCTACAACGCGGGCCAGCTCTGCTTACAGCCACACACACACACACACACACACACACACACACATGTAGGGTAAACATATCCTTATGGGGACCGCTCATTCATTTCAATGGGAAAAATGCTAACGCTAACTATGACAACCTTAACCCCTACCCTGCTCTAACCATAACCATAAGTAACCTAACAAAATATAAGAGTTTTTGCATTTTTAGTTTTTTCATAGCAGTCACCGATTTTTATAAAATAGAGTTTTCCCTTATGGGGACCAGGAAACCGGTCCCCATAAGGGGAAAAAAAATGGATATTTGTCACGTTATGGGGACATTATGTCCCCATAAGGATAGGTAAACCCGCTCACACACACACACACACACACACACACACACCACGGGCATACTAAATATAAACACAAGTAGCCCTAGGATGCTGATTAAAGCAGCCATACGCTGACAATGTCCATCCTTCTTTCTGTCACCTGCATATGTTTAAGAAAACTCTCTGCACACAGACGTTGTCCTTGACATCACAATGAACACTTCATTTAATGAAGTTAAAAAAAAAATCACATATCTTATTTCTGTTCTATACCTTTATCTCCCAAATGAGTTGCAACAAAATTTCAAACAACAAAAGAAAAAATGGCTCCACTCTCAAGACAAGTTGTTGATCATTTGGTTTGTGTTCCAGACTGAAAGCATCCAAACGCTACTTAAAATACAGACTCTGTGGGTTAGAATGTGCCCGCGATCGGAAGGTCTCCGATTGAAATCCTGTGGCCAGCAAAGTGCCCCAGGGGTGCTGGTCGATAGCCGACCCTGCAATGAGACCCCAAAAAAACTTTCTCTCACCTGTATGTGTGTGCCTGTGCCAGAACAAACCTGAGAACCGGGATTGGCAGGAGGGGTTGGGAAAGGTAAAGGCTGTTGATTGGGGGTGGGGGTTTGATGAGCCAACAGGTGGGCAAATTGTCTGTGGCCACACCCCTGGAGATACCAGGCTAATAGGCTAATCTGTCTAAGCATCTTTGGGTGATTATTTTTTGGGAGGAATGGGGGGAGGGAGGCAACGACACCAGCATGGAAAGCAAGAGAGGATGAGTGAAAACACAATATTCCTCACAAATCTGAATAATGTAGCACAATTCCATTCAACTAGCCATCAGCATGTAGGACAGAGCTGTCGTAACACATTTGGAAATGTTGAATAGACTGGTGGGAGGCAAAGGATGAAACAGACTGTTTCTGAAATGTACACAATGGTAGGTTGTCTTGGAAACATGTAAAAGGCTAAGCAAAAGTAACATTATCGTTGTTTTTCACAATCCGTAAGATTGTTAACATAATACTCGCTGTATGTCAGCATACGTGTGGCGCTGAACCCTGACATACCAATGTGAATAACACAGATTTCTACCTTGACAGCTCCAGCAAACTCCAACATAGATACCCAAAGCTCCCTTTAGTCCCAAATCACACAGTCTTCCCTAAATCCTCACTATGCAGTCATTTGCCGAGAATCATCAGTAAATCCTCCAATTCATACAGACAAAAACAACTCACTGCCGGTCAACTGCTGTACACAATTCATTGCAGAGTATAAGCTTCTCAGTGTGCAAATTATTCTTACGGTGAATTTTTTTTATTACTCCTTCAGTGACGATTTATAACGTCAGTTTTTTTTCAAAATTAGCTTACTTTCAATACATTTACTTTCATCTAGGTTCAGTTTGACGAAATGAGAACAATTTCTAGCCAATTCAGGGTTCAATCTCCGACCTGGATTCAGCCCCTGATTATCACTGAATGCTTTCCATATAAATATATCTTTACTTTACGAATGAGAATTTGTATATTGGTTCAGTAAGGGCAACATGGCGGCTAGGTGTGAAGCATGATTTCCTGACACTGTGTGTTTGGAGTGTGCATGTTCTCCCCGTGTCATCTGATTGCCTCCTGTAGTCCAAACACACGCAGTAGGCTAATTGGTGTCTCTCCTGCGATGGCCCAGTATCACCTCCAGGGGATACCCCTGCCTTGTGCCCTATGCTGCCTGGAATAGGCTGCTTGCAACATTAACCAGGATGAGCAATTAGCAGATGGAAAGATATTTGCTAAGTTACTGGACATAATAGGGTTGACAAAGGATCACACATAAAAGCTGAACAGAAAACGAGATTCATACATTCTTATATTAAGATAAATAAATGCAAGATTTAGTGTCTTTTCTCCACAGCTCTCATGCTGTTTGAAGAGTCTGTCAGGAACACACCAGTGATTCAAAGACAGTACATGGTTGGTCCTTCAAACATATCCCATGATTCTTTGCTTCATTGGCATGACCAGTCAAAGAGACAGCTTCTGCTGTTGTGCTGTAACGCACGGCTGCTTTTCTGAGTCACTCGCATTGTGCCTCCACAATATTTGGGTGACAGTTTTGCCCCTGTTCTCCTCTGAATGCACCTTGCCAGTCGCTACAGCGCCAACTGGCACGGCCCGTCGTCCTCCTGGGGGAAGCTGCATAATAATGTGCCCATAATAAATATTTTTTGAAGAAGTGCATTTGTGTCTCTAAAGAGAGAATGTAGCTGTTTTCCACTCTGGGTCTGTGCGTTAGACTCTAAGACAAAGGGAGCGTTGGGGGGTGTGTGGGCAGCTGTCCCTAGATGCTGCGGGGGGATCGTGGACCAGGGGTGTGAGCTCTGCTGCGGCTCTTCCTCCCTCCCCCTCTGCCTCCTCCTTTGCCCTGGTTCCTTTTCTTCTGGCCTCCACCCCCGCCCTTGCCGCCGCCTCCTCGTTTGTGACCCCCGTGGTCACCGTAGGTGTTCCCGGCTAGCTGAGCGCAGCGCTGCCCGAGCGTTAGGGCTTCCTGGAAGGGCAGCTGGACGGAGGCTGGGCTCAGGACGCTCAGTTTGACGGTGACGGCGGTCCAGTGGAAGCCATGTTCCTCCAGCTGGCAGTGGTAGGTGCCCGAGTGGGCCGACTCTGCCCGCCGGATCAGGACTCCCCGCTCGATCACCACCAGCTGCTCCCCAGACGCCACCTATAAAAGAAATGACACAGGTGAGCCTTACTGCCTGACCCTGGCCATGCGTTTAACAAGACAGCGTGCAATCTATTGGAACCGATTAGTGTTTCTCAGTCCAGACCTTGGGGGCACCTAGACAGTCTACAGTTTTGCTCTCTCCCAGCTTGCAGCCTATCAGGTGCACAGCACACATGATACCGGAGGGAGTGAAAATGTGGACTGTCCCAGAGGACTGGGTTGAGAAACACTGTGGTAGAGGAACTGAACACCCACGAAAAGTGCACATTCTCCTCCCTAACTTCTCCATTCTGAAAAATCAAATTGTAAGTAGGAGTTAAAAAGAGGCACTGAATTCACAGTGGGTGGGATTAACTTCACTGTCAACCACTGGCCCATTTCACTCACAGGAAGTAACCAATGGGAAGTGGGCAGTGCACTGTAATCCTGCCCCCTGTGGAATTCTCGCATTGCTTTGGGACACTGTCGCTCACAGAAAGGGTTAGCATCCGGCAGGTGAGTGGGTAGCACCCTATGTGTACACACCTGGCTCAGCTCGTGGCTGTTGCCTCCAGCCTCTTTGTACCAGGTCACAGTTGCGTGCTGAGACTTGGGCAGGCACTCCAGATAAGTGCCGTTTCCCTTGGCGACCACCATCTGCCTCTCCTCTGTCTCCACCTGGAGTCCCGCTGTAAGCACATGCGTGGGATGCGTTAGAAGTGACAGACACTCCCAGCGTGGGAAAATGCCAGGGCCAGCGGGCTCCTGAGTCCCTGTCGGGAAAACCGGCCCAAGACCGATGGAAGCCCTCATACCACCAGATTATGTAGCTTTACATAAACACCGTGTGGAGCCTCAACACACAAAAAGAGAATCACACATCATGAGAAAACAGTGTTAAGGGAGATTTTACGCAGTTTAGGATTCTGAATTGCTGCGGTACTTCTAAATCCACTCTGTCGACTCCACTCTTACTCAGTCCACTCTGATTCCAATCTACTAGTAGCTTCTAATGAAAGAAATATGGTCACCAGACTGACCTCCTTGTCTGACGCACTCGGTCAGCGGATCGCCAGCATCGCCCACCTGTCGGGTGTTTCTCCTGCGTTGGAGAGAAACATACATTAACCGAAATCAGTCAGAACCGGGCTTGACATATGAGCATGGGGTTCTATGTGTACCGCGTGTGTGCATGTGTATGTGTGTATGTGTGAGTTACCTGCGTGACACTGGCATGTACGGACTGCAGGCGTGCCCGTCCCAGGTACAGTACGGGTCCCTGGCGAGGCAGCACTCGGCACAGGCCTGGCCGTAGAGCTCGCACTGGAACAGAGCCAGCTGCGCCAATCCCTCCGCAGAGCCCACGAAGAGCCATTGCTGCAGTGAACACACACACACACACACACACACACACACACACACACGCACACGCACACACAAATTAAAATTCTTTAATACACTGCAAATTACTTATATTAGTCAGAATCACATAAAATCCCAGAAAACAAATTTGCCCAACATACAATATCATATAATAATGTTACTAATCCCAATGTATTACAACAATATTATTACTTAATTTAATGGTAACGCAGTCATTTCATAATCTGATGAAAATGACTGGAGCGCTGTTTCGACGTTGCTGCCTATGCCGTTGGTGAAATTTGATCTGTAGCCGCATCATAACTGAAACTCCATCGATAAATTATGTCATGACCTTCGGCAGAGCGTCAAAGATGAGGCGTTACGTTACGAGGCTGGCAGGCAGCATTAATAAAAGGCCAAACCGACGCTGGCGTGCTGGAATCCGTGAATAATGTATGCTCTGACATGTTTCGTCCCTTTTGTGTTGCCATGGTGACGAGCTAGGGAACAATACCCCGGGTATCTGTGTTTTGTGACATGTAGTGGACGTGGATGAGAGGAGGGGACCGGGGCATCTTAAACTCTCACCTGTGTCTTGGACAGGGTCATAGCAGTGATGGGTGATCTACCCTGTGGATGCAGAAAAGGGAGGTGGTCTGAGATCAGTCGAGGCATTTGGGAGGGGAGACAGCTATGGATGTCTACCTGCTGGGATGGAGCACTACTGGGTGTTTCCATGGAGATTTGCTGTCTTGCTGAGGTAGAGCCCACCCCCCTCACAGACAAACGGCATCTAACACCTCATCTAACAGTTGTCTGTAAACACAAATGTTGTTTGCTTTGTGCTTATATAATCTGAGCACTAACATTGTCATTGAATGTGTTCTGTGTTTCCCAAAAATACCATATAATCATGCAGATTCTCCTGCACTTCTGGAGACAGAGCAGCAGATTACTCTGGGACCAAGCTGTGAGTGTGGGAGGTACCAACAGATTCAAGGTATGTTTTGATCAGAAAAAGACTGATTCTTCTGCAGAACTTACCATTTTTCTAAAGTGATTTCGTTTAGTGTGGGCATAGAGGCACAAGGTGATGTACAGATGATGTACAGATGATGTACAGATGGTGTAAAGATGGTGTAGAAATTCAGTGTCACATGGTATAAAGATGGCGTACCTTAAAGACCTGCAGCTGCTCCAGGGTCACCTCTTGGACTCCTTGTTCTCGGGGAAGGTGAATGGACTTCAACACCTCACCTGAGTCTGTGGGAGAAGATCGAACATCATGCATACCGAGCAGACACAGACGTGCATGTGCACACATGCATGCAGCTTAACTGCAGAATAACACACATGCATGCATAGACACGCAAGAGGCCATGGTGCTGATCACCAACCCGTGCCGACGAATAGAACGTTGTACTGAGCGTCCACCGCCTCAACGCGGTCCACCAGCAGCCGGGTAAGCTTGTAGGGCACGCCAACCCGTACCAGTAGGGGGCGCCCTCCCAGGGGGTACACCTCCTCCAGCATGAGCGGGTGGGTGCGGCTGAAGAAAATGACATCGTCGGGGTACTCGCGGGTGGAGACGTGGTTGCCATACGTGCTGCTGGGACACTGACAAGGCGAGGAACACGAGATTAATGGCGGTGCTCCCGTTCTTCACGTACACCATCCTACCCGCACTAAGCCGCACTCAGCACCAGGCAGATCAGCACTGTATCTTCTGCATCACAAGTTAGCATAGGGGCAGGGAGCGGTCACAACGTGGAAGGCCGGGCAATGGGGGTACTTACAGTGCCGGGACGGGGGAAAGGCACCTTGCCCGTGAACTCCGCCCACTTGAACTGTGGCCCCTCCTTGTGGGAGAAGCGACCCTTGAAGGCCCGGATGATGTCCTGCATCTGGTACACGCACACCGCTGAGCCATTCAGCACGTTGCTGTGGAGAGGATGGGCAGTGACTCACCCTCTGCGTTTCACCTTGAGACTCTTGAGGCCCCCTTTGTTAATGCGCATGTGTGGCTCAGCGGGTTAGGATGCTGTGCTTATGATCGGAAGGGTGCTGGGTCAGATCCCAAAGCTGCTAGAGTGATTTCATCATTGGGCCCCTAAGCGAAAGTGCCCCTTTAGTGGTCCTGTGTGTGCCTTAC